TTTATAACAAAACAGCATTAATGGTAAACTTCTTAATTTTAAAACTCATTAATTTTATTTTGCATGAACAATTTATTCAGGATTGTCTTTATTTTATTTTCTTAATTGGAAGCCCTAATCTACTGACTTGTGTTTGAATTAAAGAATTAAACGCCTAACAAGGCCATTAAACTAAGCGAGCACGACGAGAATCAACCAATAGGTAATTTTAAATTCAGTCATTTTCTGTGTCTGAAATTTGAGATAAAAAATACACAATTGATTTCCTGAATTATTCCGTACACATTTGTTTGGGAAATTTTATCATTCTCTTGCAATCAGTGTACAGTAATCTGCTCTCTGTTATTTCTTTGTAAATTTGTTTGTGGTGTGCAATAAAGTATATTCATTCATTCATTCATTCATACTGGTCTACTCACAGTACTGGTTCGTATTCACTGGTTCGTACTCGTTGGCAGGATGACTGGCACAGAAAGTACCTATTTTGCTAATTTTTATAATAAGTTTGTAAATTTTACATCGTCAGTTTTGCCGATCCATATTTAAAAGACCCGTAGATTGAGAATCTCAATGTTACGAAAAATTTAATCATCTCACAAAATATTTATTTTAACAATATTAAAATAAATATTTTGTGAGATGATTAATTTTTACTTTGATTTACATTCTTATTCAGACAAAATAAATATTAAGTAATTATAAGCTATATGTTGTTTGTAAAAATCAATTGATTTATAATCATAAAAGAAAATGCTCTGAAAAAGAAAAGTAACCTAAGGAAATATGGAGCTTCTGCAAATTAATTTCCTTGTGAAAGAAAATCATTTGAATGAAACTAATTTTATGGATTCTGCCATGTATAATTTTACCTAACTTTCAATTACCAATGTTTCGTTGTTCTATAGATAGATATAGATTTATTCAATTTAGGTCCTTTCTTCTTATACAAACGATCCATTAAAGCCAGTACTTTTACGTGAAATTCCTTCGATACATATAACAGATATAATTTATTTTATGACGTATTATCTGCAAAAACATGGCCGCTATAACGTCATTTTAATGATCGTCCACCGCACTTCGATACTTGAAGGGGAGACAAGATTAAAGGCCTTCAGATAGCTTAGATACTGAAACATGTGGGATGATTTCCTTATTCACTCAACAAAATGTTATAATACGAGTATGTTAATAAGCTCGTGAATTAAACTAAAATATGATCAAAAGTGGTGTATATTGATCTGCTATTTTGATACACATTAAATTTCACATTTCGTTTGGAAATAATTACTATTTTTTTCTGTTTATGCCACCAGTGTGATAATATTTAAAGGATTATGTACTAATACCACATATGGCATTATATTTGTTATTACAATCTAGGTAATATTGATAATTTAGGCACATTTCATTTCACTGTACGCAACAAAGAGCGGCCTGAATCGTCCATGTTCTTTCTGATTGATTTTATTCACTTATATTGCAAAAAGACTTTCCTTCTCATTCTATTTGTATTTTTTTCTTTTGTAATCTTTTTGGTCAATAAAATAAAATAAAATTATCGGTTGCTATTTTTCAGGCATGTTCGAACATGCTTAATTGCGAAACGTCCTATCTTATACTATAGTTTGGTCGCAATCATTTTTTTAAATTTCCTCCCATAAAATCATAACGCATAGAATAACCAAGTAACCGCAAGCGCAGTGAGAGAATTTGAAATGAGTCATAAATGGCTTACTTTGCCGTCATATACCGTTAATAGTCTATATAACGTACCGATAAAAATATTTTTATATCCATGACGAGATAAAAGGAAATGTTATAAGGGTAAATAGCACTTCACTTACTCAAGTGATGGGTTTCGAAGCAAATGTAAGGTTGTAATAATAAATAAATATTATTTAGTATAATTTAACTACAAATTAACGAATTTCTGATGTTTTCACTTCACTTGTGCTCACTCGAAATGAATGAAACCTTGCTTCCTGCTAAATTCTGAATCAGTGGGAAGTACCTTGTACGTTTTGGATGAGTGACTGCGAGTATCAAATTTGAACCATAGACAGCCGTACCTTTAATGTTGACATTGAACCTTGAATTTTTTACACTTACAAGACACCGTATACTTAGTACCTATTTAATATTAATTTATTTTTGATACATAGGTATATCTGTTCCTTATAAAATAGTATGTTTTTGGGATCGATTTGAACTTTCTTTGATATTTATTCTATTTTTTCATAAAGTAATCTGGGAACTGAGGTATTTAAATTAAACCTTGTAAAATCTATTAAAAATGTATTTATCGATTTCCACTTGAATAGTTCAACACATTAGGTTGTAAATGGGTAGGAGAAAAATCTTGCCTTTCCACACAAAATTAATTACGATTTTTATAAAGAAAAATATAACAAACGAACACACATACCACCTGATCGTAAATGAATACTGGAACCCATGGAGATCAACATCCAACGTCGATTCAGAATGACCGTTACCCCACCTCGGTTGAGTCGAACCATTCGTGCTGCAGACATAATATAGCTGCAGCATGTCTCTACCATGTTTAATAAATAAAATATGCCTCTTAATAACTCACTTTAAAAATTATAACCACATATTTCCATTTCAGTCTTATTTTAGCTATTATTGCTAACGAGAGACCTTTTAAAAGAATGCGTTAACTGGAATACATAACGTTAATTTTTTGCCTATAATCATCAAACAGAGCTGGAGGATTGGTGAATTGGTGATTTAGAGCGGCGACGGTAGTCACTTACCATCAGGTGAGCCGCGTGCTCTCTGCCCGCTTTATATATATATATATATATATATATATATATATATATAAGTAGTAAAAAGACACTATATATCCCACCTGGGCACAGGCCTCCCCTCATTTCTGAGAGGATTTTAGGGCAAGGAAGTGTCCGTCGCGCTGCCCCAATGGGTGTTGGCGAAGTTCACATGTCTTCGAAATATTTTTTTTCTTATTCCTCAGACATGCAGGTTTCCTCACGATGTTTTCCTTCACCGCCGAGCACGTGGTAAACCAGCACTTAAAATTGCAATTAACAATTTCATTGGTGCCGGCGGGATGGATCGAAAAAAAAAAAAAAAAAAAAAAAAAAAAAGAAAGAGTAAAAGCATTTATAGCAGACGAGAGGAAAGATAATACCCAAAAAAAAAAAGAAGATTGCAAAATATCGCCTACCCCTCTGGGCAGGCTATTTTATAGTATGTATTATTAATTAAAAAAAGCTAGTGAACTGGATTGGTGGTAGTATAACCCATAACCTAGTATCGGTGTGGCAGTGTTATAACTGTTTTTCACAAGTTATGGAAAACCTTCATTACTTTTGTTAGTAGTCATATTTTAATGTGATTTTTGACATTTCCTATATAAGAACTAAAATAGAACAATGGGTAATAATGTATAAATTACGCTAATTGAAAAAATAGCATTGGCTGCCACTACCTAGGAATGGGGTAATAAAAACCACATTGTATGGTTTAATTAACTTGATCAGTAAAAGCTTTAACTCTTTAAATAAAACTGGTTTGGTAAAATAAGTTAATAAACGCGATAAAATCCGTAATTTTATCGCGTTTATTAACTTATTTTACATTCCCGACGTTTCGAGCACTTTACAGTAACCATGGTCACGGGAGGAGGGTGGGGACTGTGAGGTGTTCGACGTTCTAATATCATAGTTAATCACGACTACCTCTAGATTAAAATAATTAATTGCTGTTCCAATCTACGCAGTATAAACTTATAGTATCTTGAAGTCTTGCAGTATTCTTGGGTTGGGATTTAATTTTATTATAGAATCCTAAGCAGATGGTAGCATTCAGCTATCTTCTCTATTGAAATTGGAAATAGGAATAGCCTCGCGAATTATTATTAGCGAGGTATGTGGTCTATCAAATCTGATGTAGCGACAGGGGCGATCCTGTGCCTGTTCACAGACTGCAGACTTCCCGGAGCGTCGATTCTTCATATCAAATATGTGTTCTTTAACGCGGGTTTTTATTAATCGTTTTGTTTATCCTATGTATGAGAGACCACATTCACAATCAAGCTTGTACACTCCTGCATCTTGCAGAGGGATATTACACTTGACTGATGGTAAAAACTGTCTAATCTTCTTCGGCGACTTGAAGTATGTTTTAATGGAATAGAAGCATGCTTCAAGATGTAGCCAATCTAGTCAGTAACACCTCTGACGTATGGCAGTACAGCAGGTACACGCTTGACTGTGGCCGGCTTCACTCGTTCTCTGTACTACGTAGGCGCGGGACACGAAGCTTGATGTGATGCAAAACTTTCTGGATCTTCACGTGTTGAAGCTCGGCGGCCAGGTGTTTAATATCACACATCCTTCGTGCTCTTTGAAACAAAGATTTACCTACTTTACCTTAGTTACTTACTGTGAAATAAACTGTATTTAATAATAATAATATTAAGGCGTAGGGAAGTGACGACCCCATCGCCCGCTGATATAACGGTTATGTGACAAAACCGCTACGTCGGCGCAGTCAGTCAGCACCTTGCCAAGAGGTGTTAGTGCCGTGCCTCGGCAAAAATTGAAGGTGCCAAGGCCCGCTTGTGCACATGGCCTAACCATGAAACGGCGCCGGGTCTGGGCGTCTCCCGCTAAATGACGCCCTAAAATGGATGATGGAATCAAATGGAACGCGCAAAGGGCCGCTGCCTGGAGGTCGCCAGGGCGCGTCTGGAGCTGGCGCTGGACGCGACAGCATGCGGACCGCCAGCCGAGCGCGAGGTGCTGCACGACCACCCAGCAGCTCCTCGCATCCATCATCCCCACCAGCTGGCTTGGTGTCGGCAGGGTCTTCGCGGGCTCAGCAATCGGCACCCGCCACTGGTGGAGTACGCCGCATGCGTTGGACAACCCAGATGAACAGCAACGCATTGCGGGCGTATTTTAGGGCGAAAGGGGGGAGAAACTGGAGGTTTTGCGTATCGGGCAAGGATGCATCGACTTTTTGCTGAGCTGGAGCCATCTGTAACCGTCACCGAGCAAAACCTGGCAGACCGAGTTCGGTATATCTTGCGCTCAAATACATTTGATGTCACCGAACTCGAACGGCTACGACGTGAGGCTGTTCCTTCATCGGGTGAAAATGCTGCGGCTGAGGATGCGGCGCCACAACTTGCTGAGCAAACGGCAAATCTGGATGCCGCCGTGAATACGCCAGTTGTGGTTGATTCAAACGATGATGGAACAGTCGCCCAGGAACTGGAACTAGAGCAAATGAGGAGTACATTGGAAGAGGCGATTGTGGAAACGCGCAGTACGACTCTCGAAAATCGACCGCGACTTCCCCGCTTAGCCCAAAGCAAGCAGAATCGGGCTGTCGTGAGGGCTCTGAACCCAATGCTGGTTACCTATTTGGAAGCCAGCCGGGACCTTTGCGATACGGACTCAATTCTTTTTGGCGCCGCACTGGCAGTCTGCCGTATTATAGGTGCCAAACTTTCCACGGCTGGACGCGCTACTGGACAAAGTAGTGCTATCCCAGCCTGGAGAATAAGAATTGAAGAACGTATCGCAAAGGCTAGGGGCCCTCATCGGCAGACTGATATGCTTCAGGTCAGGCAATACCAGGCCAAGGATTGTGCGCACCGTCAGGATGGCGTTTGCTGGGACAAATGTTAGTTTGTCCCAGCCGGATATAATGCAAAAACTGACGGAGCGCATAGACGACCTGAAGCAAAGAATAGCTGCTTGGGGAAAGCGGATTCGGCGATATACCGAGAGGTCGACACGGTTCAACCAGAATCGTCTCTTCCAGAGTGATCAGAAGAGGCTCTATAAATCATTGGAGCGACCAATAGTAAGTGGAACGGGCCCTGCACCAAATCAGGCCGACATGGTCGCATTCTGGCGCAGCCTGTGGTCAGAGCCCGTAAACCACAACGAGGGCCCTTGGACGGAAGTTGTGGCGAGTCAGTGTGCGAGTATTACGCCCATGGACCCCGTCATCATAACGCCGGATGACGTAGCTGAGGCGGTCCGTAGGGCCCCCGAACTGGAAAAGTCCGGGGCTTGACGGGCTGCATCACTACTGGCTGAAGGGGTTCATGGTGTGTCACTCTGTGCTCGCCCGACAGTTTCAAGAGGCTCTCAACCAGAAGTCGCTCCCAAGCCTCTTCACTACTGGGATCACTCATTTGGTTCCTAAAGATCAGGGTGCCACAGACCCGAGCAAATACCGCCCCATCACGTGTCTACCGACCATATACAAGACACTAACATCCATTTTGAGCGCAAGAATCGCTCGTCACCTGGACTTAAATCAGGTGATGTCGCGCGCTCAAAATGGATGTCGGGGCGGCGGTCGTGGAACCAAGGAACCACTCCTCATTGACGCGGTCATTGGCAAAGTGGTGAAACGCAACCGTCGGAACTTCTCCGCCGCCTGGATAGATTACAGAAAGGCATTTGACTCGGTGCCCCATACATGGCTAAGAGGGTCCTCGAGCTGTACAAGATTGACTATACAGTTCGAGACTTCCTCGAGCAGTGTATGGGTCAGTGGAGTACGATCCTCTGTCATCTAGGCGAGCGGATGACGGCTGCGGAAAGCCGCATAAGGATAAGAAGGGGTATATTCCAGGGCGACTGTCTGAGTCCAATCTGGTTCTGCCTCTCTTTGAACCCTCTCAGTACTTTACTGGAGGGCTCCGGGAAGGGATTTCAGCTTCGGAAAGGAGGTACAAAAGTGACCCACCTTTTTTACATGGATGACCTCAAATTATTCGCCTCCAGTCGCTCCCATCTTATGGAATTGCTAAACATCACGTGTGAATTTAGCAATTCTATTAGAATGGAGCTGGGGACGGATAAGTGTGCGGTCCTCCATGTTGAAAGGGGAAGGGTTGCTGACTCTGAGGGCATAGACTTATCTATGCCCGTCAACTTAAGAACCCTTTCCGAGGCTGAAACATACCGATACCTGGGTATGTCACAGAACATCGGTATCGATGAGGCTGGTATGAAACAGTCAGTTTGCGACGTGTTTTATGCACGCTTGACCAAAGTGCTTAACAGCCTTTTGTCCGGTGTGAATAAGGCACACGCATATAACGGTTGGGTCATGCCTGTCCTCATGTATACCTTTGGCATACTCAGGTGGACTCAGATTGAACTTAACGCCCTGGATAGAAAAGTCCGCACTACCATGACGTCCCATAGGATGCATCATCCGAGATCGTCGGTAATGAGGCTGTACTTGCCGCGGAAGCATGGTGGTCGTGGCTTCTTGAGCGCGCTCACCATGCATAATCGCGAAGTGTGCAGCCTCCGTGATTACTTCCTTGCGAGATCGGATGATCCATTCTATAAGGACGTCATTTCTTGTGATAAAGGACTTACCCCTCTATCCTTAGCCAACGAGCAATGGCAAGACCCGGCAGTGCAGAGCATTTCCGACCGGGAGACCGTATGGAAGGAGAAGGAGCTCCACGGGAGGTTCTACAAGGCTCTACATGAGCCTTTCGTAGACACAGTAGCCTCCCTCCACTGGCTACGCTTTGGTGATCTCTTCGGGGAAACCGAGGGTTTTGTCTGTGCAATACAGGATCAGGTTATTAAGACCAACAACTATCGGAGATACATCCTAAAGGATGGCACCGTCGACATCTGTCGAGCTTGTCGCCATCCCGGTGAGTCACTTAGGCATGTTATCTCCGGTTGTTCGGCGCTTTCTAACTCTGAGTACTTGCACAGGCACAACCTAGTAGCCAGAATTCTACACCAGGAGCTCGCTCTGAAATACGGTCTCGTGGATCGGAAATTGCCGTATTACAAGTACTTGCCGGAAGCCGTGCTCGAAAATGATCGCGCCAGGCTCTATTGGGACCGGGCCATCATCACAGACAGGACTATTCTTGCGAATAAACCTGATATTGTGCTGATGGACCGGGCACAGTCAAGGATATTTTTGGTCGACATTACCATTCCGTATGACGAGAACCTCGTGAAAGCCGAAACAGACAAGAAAACAAAATATCTGGACCTGGCTCACGAGGTGACCGACATGTGGGGTGGTCTGCCGACCGAAATTATTCCTGTAGTCGTCTCTGCAAACGGGCTAATCCCAGTCAGCCTCTCGGGTCATCTGAGGCGGCTGGGACTACGTGGCGGACCGCTCCAGGTTCAAATGCAGAAGGCGGTGCTCCTCGATACCGCCCGCATCGTCCGCCGGTTTCTTTCCCTTTCCCCCTAACCCTCGGCCGTTTGGTCTCCCCTGCCGAGGGCCTCCATCTGGTTGGGCTTTTACTTATTTATGTACTTTTATATTTAATTTATGTTATTGATATTTATGTATATTTATCTTTTCATTTTCATTTATAATTATATATTTATAGAACCCAACCAGATGAGAAAACTATATAGATACCCCAAAATAATAATAATAATTCTTTATTGACATTCATAGTTCACAATTTGAAATGGGTAGAAACCTGAGTCTCCTAGCTAGGTTACTGAGTAACCTGTATTTAGGAGATACAGTTACACTCCCATCCCCCCTGTTGATTAGGAATACATAGTTGTATTGTTTAAAATTATTATAATTTTTTAAATAGAAATAATATTTATACAATTTTAGAGACATAATAAAAATGATTCTCTCTCTCTCTCTCTCTCTCTCTCTGTGTGTGTGTATGTGTGTGTGTGTGTGTGTGTGTGTGTGTGTGTGTGTGTGTGTGTGTGTGTGTGTGTGTGTGTGTGTGTGTGTGTGTGTGTGTGTGTGTGTGTGTGTGTGTGTGTGTGTGTGTGTGTGTGTGTGTGTGTGTGTGTGTGTGTGTGTGTGTGTGTGTGTGTGTGTGTGTGTGTGTGTGTGTGTGTGTGTGTGTGTGTGTGTGTGTGTGTGTGTGTGTGTGTGTGTGTGTGTGTGTGTGTGTGTGTGTGTGTGTGTGTGTGTGTGTGTGTGTGTGTGTGTGTGTGTGTGTGTGTGTGTGTGTGTGTGTGTGTGTGTGTGTGTGTGTGTGTGTGTGTGTGTGTGTGTGTGTGTGTGTGTGTGTGTGTGTGTGTGTGTGTGTGTGTGTGTGTGTGTGTGTGTGTGTGTGTGTGTGTGTGTGTGTGTGTGTGTGTGTGTGTGTGTGTGTGTGTGTGTGTGTGTGTGTGTGTGTGTGTGTGTGTGTGTGTGTGTGTGTGTGTGTGTGTGTGTGTGTGTGTGTGTGTGTGTGTGTGTGTGTGTGTGTGTGTGTGTGTGTGTGTGTGTGTGTGTGTGTGTGTGTGTGTGTGTGTGTGTGTGTGTGTGTGTGTGTGTGTGTGTGTGTGTGTGTGTGTGTGTGTGTGTGTGTGTGTGTGTGTGTGTGTGTGTGTGTGTGTGTGTGTGTGTGTGTGTGTGTGTGTGTGTGTGTGTGTGTGTGTGTGTGTGTGTGTGTGTGTGTGTGTGTGTGTGTGTGTGTGTGTGTGTGTGTGTGTGTGTGTGTGTGTGTGTGTGTGTGTGTGTGTGTGTGTGTGTGTGTGTGTGTGTGTGTGTGTGTGTGTGTGTGTGTGTGTGTGTGTGTGTGTGTGTGTGTGTGTGTGTGTGTGTGTGTGTGTGTGTGTGTGTGTGTGTGTGTGTGTGTGTGTGTGTGTGTGTGTGTGTGTGTGTGTGTGTGTGTGTGTGTGTGTGTGTGTGTGTGTGTGTGTGTGTGCGCGTGCGTGCGTGCGCGTGCGTGCGTGCGTGCGTGCGTGCGTGCGTGCGTGCGTGCGTGCGTGCGTGCGTGCGTGCGTGCGTGCGTGCGTGCGTGCGTGCGTGCGTGCGTGCGTGCGTGCGTGCGTGCGTGCGTGCGTGCGTGCGTGCGTGCGTGCGTGCGTGCGTGCGTGCGTGCGTGCGTGCGTGCGTGCGTGCGTGCGTGCGTGCGTGCGTGCGTGCGTGCGTGCGTGCGTGCGTGCGTGCGTGCGTGCGTGCGTGCGTGCGTCGTGCGTGCGTGCGTGCGTGCGTGCGTGCGTGCGTGCGTGCGTGCGTGCGTGCG